TATATATATATATATATATATATATATATATATAAAATATGTCTCAACCCTTAATTATATCTCTGTCCGGTTTAACTTATATCTTGTTAATATAGCAATTATATTTGTGTATTCATATTTATATACAATATATTAATTTAATGAAATAAATCAGAATTGATTCTTCTCCAAAAATCATATTATGTTAGCTTTTTAAAAGTTTAACTTGTGTGTGTGGGTGTATGTATATTCTAATTCAATTTGTATCAGTTGGGCATCATTATAATTGAGATTTGTTGACATGTACTTGCAAATTGCAGATAGCCAGAAATACATGTAGTTGTATGTGTGATATATTTATTAATGTACTTTCTCCTCTAACGACTTTTCTGGAATCATGTTGGATTCTAGGGGTTTATAGTTTCCTTTATGTATGTAATGTACATATGCTTCCATATATATATATATATATATATAAGTACCATCCACTGTTCAAAGGATCTTGAGATTTGGATGTAGTTTTGGCTGAAAACTGATCTCAAATATCATATATAACGTCACCCTCAACCCTAAATATTATGATATTGTATCAAATTAAACAATATGTCAATATCAACCTTGTTAAGAAAATAATCTTCCGCAATTAGGTCAAAGTAATTTTTGCACGGTCAGTAAATATGTCTTCTTTTATGCAAGTAATTTTTATATAATTAGGTCAAAGTAAGTAGGTCTTGTTATATATTTGAATAATGTTATAAGATTATCAATATATCTGAATATTCCATGTGTTTAGATTCTTTATTCTTTAACTTACAACAAAACTATTATTCCCTGATCTGTTTAGATCCTTTATTTATTTATTTTTTCATACAACAACACATTCTAAAACTAAAGCGCACATTAGAAAGTGCTTCGAAAGGTACAGCAGGTGTGCGGAGCCGGGAGCCCGGCATGTTTGCCGCTGGGCCGAATGCATTAATCATGATTCTTTGATTTTATATGCATGTAAATATTTTAAAATGAACCAAGATAATTAAGCACATTTAACATCTCTGGTATGGTGGGCTCTAGGTTCAAACGTATGCTTGACTTGTGCGGAGGTTAATTAATACGAATACTGTTACAACAATGGCAAAAACTCGAATGAGAAATTTCAAGAACCAGAAAAAAAACTATATCCTCACTCAGAATAAGAACAATTTCTCCCGTGGTTCAGAAACCCTTACAACCACGGCCAAAAAACAACCAGAATCTTAATCTAAGCACAAACAGGACAAACATTTCAAAGACCGCCTTTCTCAGAATTTTCCCGAGAAAATTATGCCCCTTTTCTCTCACTTTCTCTCTCAACTCAACCCCTAAGAAAGAAAAAGTTTCTTCACTCAGAAAATGCTCAGAAAATAGAACATTCAGGAATTATCTCTACTGATAAATCTCTTATTGTTTCAGTAATTCTATTTATACACTTTTCAATTACAGTACTTTACAAATAAAATCAACACGTCTAAAAAAAAATACCAGAAAAGTCTAAACTACCCTTGTTGTTATCCAGAACCTTGTGCATTAGATTCACAAGCACAACAAATACGTATACTAATTGAATATATTTGAGATGGGCTATATGTCTGTGGTAACATATATAGGTGCCATTAGGACTGTCAGGCGTATATTCTACTGTAATATTAGTTTTGGGTAATACATACAGCTAGCATAGATATATTTATATATCAGTGGAACACATTTGGTGATCATATATATGTAGGGCAATAGAATCTAGTTTGGCTAACATACATACAAAGGAAATCTTGTTTGACTAACATATATATATATATATATATATAAGGAATTATTAGTGTCTTTTCATGGTCTACAGTAGAAATTCGGACTTAACACCGCACAATTCATTAATCCGATAAAAACTTTAAAATAAGGTTTTAAGGTATCGACTATCGAGATCTTCAACCTATATTAAAGCATGAAAAGGAAAAGCTTTTTATCATTGCACCAAGCATGGGTGGTTATTAGTAATTGGGTTTGAACCTAATCAATATTGCCTCCATGTTCTAATCTTGTGGCATAATCATATTGATCCTTTGGGGCAGTATTAGTTGGCTCTTATGAATCTGCGGTACCTTTTTTTTTCTCTCTTTTCTGAAAGTCTGTTTTTTTGTATATGAATATTAATACTTTTGTTAATGAACTATGACTTTAGAGTAAATAAAAAAGAAGAAAAAGGACAAATTAAATAATGAATAATTAAAATGGTAGTGCCAGTACTGGTAAATGTTTGGGGAGATCTTCAACCTGTATGCATGCAATTGATTGGATGGCATAATTATTGTCTTTGTATTTTTCTGACAATCCTTTCCTTACATATAAATGAGGATATGTTTTATTTTAACTTCAACTACTATAGGAAGCATTTACTTGAACTATATTTATAGAAACTTAAGGTCTCTTTCATTTTATTGATTCGAGTTTTTAGTTTTAGATTTTTACAGTTAAAAGTTTTCAAAAAAATACATATATTTTTTTGTTACAATTAAAAACTCTCAGAAAATATCACATCTCAACTCAAATTAAAAACTCAAAGTGCCGGTTTAGAATCATTTCTAAAAATATTTTTCACATTTTTCAAGAACAAAAAAATGAAAATGCTCTCACAAATGCATTTGGCACCGCATTATCTAAAAATAAAAATTGAAAACATTTTTGTACTTATTCTCAAAAAGTCAGGGAAGCTGAAAACAATTAAGGTTTTCAGTTTTCATTTTTCTTCCTTTATTTAATATATTTATTTAATATCTTATTATTTAATAATATTATTTATTTAATATATTATTATTTTAAATATTATTATATGTTTTTTAAAATTAAACCACCAAACATAATTTTAATTTTTTTAAAACTGAAAATAATCTCATAATAAAACTATCAAACGCATTTTGAGAAATGATTCCAAAATGAAAATGAAAACGTTTTCATTTTTATTTTCATAAAAAAAAAATCATTTTAGAACGAGTTTTAAATGCATTTTTATTTTTATAAAATAAAATAAAATCATTTTAGAATGAGTTTTAAATACACCTAAAATTACGAAACGAACGAGTCTTAAATATTTGAGAAAAAGAATAATGAGCACTTTATACTAAACAATTAAAATAAAACAAGTTTCTCGATAGAATAAAAAATACCTTACCGATATGCACAATTTAGAATCGCCGTCATATCTTTATTAGGATTTAATCAGTTAATAATAAAGGCTTTTTTTTTTTTTTTTTTTTTTTTGCACCACACCGTAGAATTCTTCTTATATCATTTCCTTATAACCCACCTGCTATTATTATAACTACTATAGTAAGCATTTACTTGAACTATATTTATAAAAATCCTACCTTTGGTGAAAAAGAATGAGCTTTTTATACTAAACAACAATTTAAAGAAAATTCACTGACAGAATAAAAAGCACCTTATTGGTATGCATACAATTATTCAAAATTAACGTTATGACTTGACTTGGATTTAATTGGTTGAATAATAACTTTTTTTCTTTTGCACCATTACCGTATAATCCTTCGCATAACATTTCCTTAAAATCTCTGCAAATTAACTCTATTTAATCTTTTTTTTTCTCCACCACCCATTATCAATTATCCATGCGACAAAAATAAAATCCTCATTATAATAATAAAGATAAAAAATAATCTAATTTAGTTTATTAATTTAAATTTTTAATTTAAATTGAGATATAATTTTATGTGAAAATTTTTTATTATAATATAAAAAATTAAATATAACTTTTTATAGTGAGGCTAATGTCCACCACAAGTATTCAGATCTGTTCTAAACTTCAAACGTTTGAACGCGTCTCAGCTAGCGACCAACCAATAGTAGCCCTCCACGTATGTAATTTTATTTATTTTTTTAAAAATTCAATTTAATAAAGTGTTTGCCTTCTGGGTTATTATTTTCCACCGAAGTTTGAGCAGAAAAGGCAAAGTGGCCCAACAGAATCTCAAATCTCAAATCTGAAAACAATTGTGTTTTACTTTGTCCTAATTAACTCCACTTAATTAAGATTAACATTTTGATTCTTCAATTTGCTTCCCTGGAATCAATTAAGGTCAGATCAGGTATGAAATTTGATTCTATTCTCATGAATTATAACTTCTCTCCACTAAGCTTGAAATTTTTTCTCTTTTCATCATATTAACTAACGGGAAAAAAAAAGAGACAAAACTTGCGTTAATCTGTGTTCATCTTGCGTTAATTTTGTGTTATAATTTGTTATTGTATCAGCATTGGAGAGAGTTCCCTTTTGATTCAAAACTCAAAGTCTTATCAGGAAAAGCTTTTTTTTTTTTTTTTGCTTTCGAAATTGATTAAAGAACAGAACTTGTGTTACTTTTTGTGTAAATTTGGTGCTGAAATCCACACTGATTAAATAAGAGAACTTGTGTTGGTTTTGATTTTGTGTTAATTTGGAGATATTTTACTTTTGTGTTGATTTTTCTTTATTTTGTTTTAATTTAGTGCTAATTTGGTGTTAAAAATTGTTGATAATCCGCAGAAATTACAATGATGGAGAAAGCAGATTCTTCGCAGAAGTTGTACTCTCGGATGAGATTATGGGAGTTTCCGAATGAGTATGTGATTGAGCCAACTGACGGCTCTTCTGCTGCTTCTTTGTCCATTAATCGCCATGATGCCTCTTTGAATCTCATCGGTATAACTAATCTGTAATTCATGGCTTTTCTTTATTATTATTTTCAATTATGTGTTTAATATATATATATATATATATTGGATAATTTTGCTCCAGATGAGCTTCCAGATTGCTCTTCTGTTAGGGCACCAAAGATTCAGACTATTTTCGGTCTAGTTGGCTTGCTGAAGCTCTTGGCTGGTAAGATCATCTTCTAAGATTTCCATCACAATCAGATTGGTTTTGATTGGATTATGGGGAAATTACTAAATCCTTTCAGTTTAAGTGATAATGCAATTATCAACCTTCAATTCTTTACTAATAGTTCACTGCCAATCCTTTTAAAATTTTACCTTGGGGTGCGACATTTGATTAACATCAGATATGAATATGATGATTGCCTTCAAACAAATTTGAGAATAGTTGTGAAGAAAACTAGTGGCGGAGCGAGAAAATTTTTATAGAGGGCATAAACTAAACTAAGACTACAGTGTATTTTTTTTTTAAAACTATTTATCTCTCTTTTACTCTTATATCAGTTTGTAATTTGTATCTTGTCTTTTTTCTTCCAAATGAACCAAGCTTGTGATCCAGTTTAATGCATTTTGAAACTTTAAAATACATAAAGTTATGAATTTATATAGTATTGTAGAAGTTTTTTGCTTTCTTTGAGGTTTAGTTTGAAATATGAGTGTATTTCACGGTTAAAAGTTAGGGCATGATCGAAATATTGCGGAATATTGATGATAGATTTTGAAGAGATTGACAATATGGAGAGGTATTTTGTAATTGTAGAGAATATAATATACAACATCTTTACTTAAAACCAGCGGAGGATTTTGTGATTTGCCCTTTCTGATTACTTTATGTAAATTCCAGCTTGTCTAATAGCTATGATATGATTATGCTTTCAGGGTCATATTTAATTGTCATAACTGAGCGTGAATGTGTTGGATCTTACTTGGGTCATCCCATTTTCAAGATTTTATCTTTGGAAGTTTTTCCTTGTGACCATTCTCTGAAGAACTCCAATGCACAACAGGTAAATCTGCTACTGCTTTCCCCATTTCTTGTCTCTTATTTGAGTGGCTTCTAATTCTATACTTGGTACATAATCATTTCGTTGACAGAAAAAGATGGAATCTGAGTTTTCTGCGCTGCTAAACATCGCAGAAAGGACTTCTGGTTTATTTTTCTCATATGACACTAATTTAACCCTCAGGTGAATTTTTCTTTAGTATTATAAGAAAAGAAATTAGGTTTAGATGATTTTTTTTTTCAATTTGAATATTTAAGAAGAAATTCTTCTTATTTTTGTATCTTCTGTGTATACAGTTTACAAAAATTGCATGATTTGGGTGATGAATCTAAGCTGCTCCCTCTTTGGAGACAGGTAAACCTTGATTCTGCGGTACTCCCTCTTTCTTTTACAATGATGGTTCCACTACGTAGAAAGTCTTTCTCACATTTCCAATGTTTCTTTTTTTTTTTCCACAGGCAGAACCTAGATTTCTCTGGAACAATTACATGTTAGAAGTACTCATAGATAACAAGGTTGACTTTTGCCCAATTGTTATATTTTACCAGCTTGATAACTTTTATGTTTTGTAGTAACTTTTGGCTGACATTTTTATTATTTCCATCTTTGCAGCTTGACCCCTTCTTACTTCCTGTTATCCAAGGGAGTATCCTTTATTCTATTATCGCTTTTTCACCTTTTCGCTGCAATCTTGATTAGTTTAACTGTTGCATGATTGGTATATTATCTGTAAATTCTGTCTTTCTTGGAAAGTTCTCCTTAATGGATTCATGATCAGCCTTTCAGCACTTTCAAGCAGCAATAGGGAAAAATGTTATTGATGTTACCCTAATTGCTAGGAGATGCACAAGGAGAAATGGTATTTAAAGCTCATATCACCCTTCTGAATTTGCTGAATGACAACTAACAAATACAAAAAAAATCTAACAAATAAGAATAGCAAACTTTGAGGAACTTAAAGGCATTGACTATTGGTAATCTGCACATCAGTGAAATTTATGGTTTGCAACTATTTTATGACGACAATGGAGAAATGTCAATTTCTTGAAAATCAAAACGACCTTGTATAAACTATAATTGTGTTATTAGGGAAAAAATAAAAAGGAAAGAAAAAAGAATTTCCAGCATTTCTTCAAAAAAAAAAAAAAATAAATAAATAAAGCAGTAAGCACTTCGTCTTTATATTCTGCAAAATAACTCGCATGTTCTTGAAGGAACTCGTATGTGGAGAAGAGGAGTTGATCCTGACGGGTATGTTGCAAATTTTGTGGAAACTGAGCAAATTATGCAGTTGAATGGCTTTACAGCATCATTTGTGCAGGTAAAATTTACTTATAGTTCCTATATTCCTACTACTTTAGTAAAAGGCACTGGAAATTCTCTTTTGTGAAGCTGTGGTAACTGTCCTGGAACATATTATTGGATCTAAGATGTCTTGTGTTATTTGTTCTGCTAATTCTTTTGCAGGTTCGTGGTTCAATTCCATTGTTGTGGGAGCAAATTGTTGATTTGACATATAAGCCTAAGTTTGAGCTTGTGAAACCAGAGGAAGCTGTGAGTTTGCATCTATTACGTTTCTCTTGCATGCCAGTTTGATTCTGCATCTACTACTTTTTAGCTGTATTTGACTGCTGGTGTATTGATCTTGTCTGCAGCCCAAAGTAGTAGAGCGACATTTTTTGGATTTAAGAAAGAAATATGGGGCTGTTTTAGCAGTTAATCTTGTCAACAAGGTGCACCTTTTTTTTTTTTTTTGGGTTCTTTTCTTTTCCACGCTAGATAGAAGTATCTGAATTTTTATACTTGTGAAACATTACACCTGGCTAAAGCCAATAGAAATTAGTTGTGCTGCTGTTAATTAATTATGACGCATTTCACAATTACCAGCATGGAGGTGAGGGACGCTTGTGTGAAAAATTTGCAAGCGCTGTGCAACATGTCATTAGTGATGATGTAAGGTAAAATTTCTTTTCCTCTCATCTTTTTAGCTGCATATCTGAAACTATTTGGTCTTATTTAATTTTGACATCTATTTTATGCTGCAGATATTTGCACTTTGATTTTCATCGCATTTGTGGGCATGTTCATTTCGAGCGCCTCTCCATCCTTTATGAGCAAATTGCAGATTTTCTCGATAGAAATGGGTATGTTTTCCTTCAGATGGTTTTTACTTAGTACTTCTTACAGATACAGTTGAATATTTGTTGCTCAATTAGTTCATTTGGAGAAAAATAGGCCTTCATGCATAGCTGGCTACTTAATTTGCTGTGTTCTGCTAAATAAACTCAAGCAATCATACACACTTGAGATCTAGTGTGCTTCAATGTACATTTATGTGCTTAGGTTCTCCTCATGTGTGTCGAACTGAAAAATCAGTATAGACAGTCTTCAGTAATATACCCAGTAAATAGTAATCAAATTATTATATTTTCTTAATTCAACAGATAAGAGTGTTAGAGTTTGTGGGAAAACAATGAGTTGGTTGTGTTAAGTGGTGGTTCATTTAATGAGCTATTTAATTTGTTTCTCCCAACCTTTTATTTTCATGCTAGGTTATATGCTATATTATCTCCTGTTGAAATTCTTATACCTGTGTTTACTGCAAAATCATGGAATAGTACTTTACGCCTACACGGTTATGCCATCGTCTCATGATTTTCTGAACTGAAATTTCTAGGTATTTCTTATTGAATGAAAAGGCTGAGAAAATGAAGGAACAGCTTGGAGTTGTAAGGACCAATTGTATTGATTGCTTAGACCGTACAAATGTAACTCAGGTGGGTGTGGGTATACATTTTGTTAAGAAAATATTGTTCTGTCTAGTTTTGTTTTCATCAGTTTTACAGCATATATCCTCACCCTTATGGACTTGTGGTTGCAGAGCATGATAGGTCGAAAGATGTTGGAAAGCCAACTTAGAAGGCTTGGTGTTTTTGGCGCTGAAGAGACTATTAGCTCACATCCAAACTTTGATGAAAAGTTTAAAATATGTATGTTCTTATTACCACACTTGGTATTCTTTAATCTTACCAACTTATAGTGTTTCTGATGTATATACTTGCCTCTTGGATTGGAAGCATTCTATTCTAAGCATGTGAAATTCTGAATTTTTCTCTTTACCTTGTTCTGTTTCTTTAGTGTGGGCTAATCATGGGGATGACATAAGCATTCAATACTCTGGTACTCCTGCCTTGAAAGGAGATTTTGTCAGGTACTTTTACATGGATCTACTTTTGTATTTATGCATGTGATGCATTCTTGAGCTAAAAAACTTTTATACAGAATAACTTAGATTGATTCCTTCATATCTGAATTTGTGATCGTGTTGGATTGGTAGATGCGGCCAGCGGACAGTCAATGGGATCCTCAAGGATGGATGGAATTCCCTTGTACGTTACTATTTAAATAACTTCCGTGATGGATCAAAACAGGTTAGTGCCCTTTTAGATCGTCATTCCATTGCCCTTTTTTTAGATGAAACGCTTGAATACCGGTCGTCTTCTCATCCACCACCGGTTGAGTGACTATCATGTGTACAAGATAACTGTATTTTCAATTTACTTACCTTTTTCTTGTTTTTGGAATCTTTTGGCTCATTCCTTAAGGATGCAATTGATCTCCTCCAAGGACATTACATTGTTTCGGTGAGCAGAGAAATGAGCCCCCCATCGCAAAAGGGAGGCCTTGAGGCTGTAGCTGTGAGTATTTATGGCATGTGCATTGGTTGTTCTAACCATTCTGTTGCTTTTCTTGGCATCTTATTTCGATAGTGTTTATTTGTTGCAGTCATTTCCGCTCGCTTTATTCTTTGTTCTAATGGGATTCTTCTTTGCTACAATGTCACTTAGGCAAGGTGCGTTGAGTTTTCTTTTTGTTCTTGTGGCGAAATATATATTGTCATCCCTTTTTGAAGCAAGCTATAGGTGAATCACCCTATTTGTTTTTTATTCATCTGTGTGCAGTTCGGAATGACTTTCGGCATTTATTCTTTTCAATATTGTGGGCAAGCCTAAGTGTGGCCTTAGCAGCATTTGTGAGAGCCAATGGACGGGTTTTCTGCAACCGGCCTCGTCTTTACAAGCCTCGGTCTTAGATCTGGGTCACCAAGTTCTGAAGGAATCACTTTTCCTGTTCACTTTCCCGCTCTTGTTGCTCGTTTATCTCCGTTCTTTCAAGTTGCATTCTCGATATATTTGCTTTATATAGCACACGGTATAAACAGTAGTTGGTTTGGCAGACCGCCCTTCTGTTGGTGTTGTCATTCCTTTTGTATAAATTGATTGATTGATTGATTGATTTATTTATTTCTGGCTTGTTCAAACTGGAAGCTCTAGGCTGTTACTGGAACCTTATTTTATTCATTCTAATGATCATGTTTGAATCCGATTCCTTAAAATACAATCGTGCTTTTTATTTCCTGTTTATTGTTAATCGACAATCTAAACTATCGTATGGCATTAAAATTTAAAGGAAAGATAAAGATGGGTAACAAAGCATAAATCTGGATAAATTGGACATTGAAAAGGTGAAATGAGACTAGTAGAAACAGAGCAAGTGTCTAGGAGGAGGCTTGAAGCTGAGTCGCGTAGGGAGGCCAGTAGAGGTGAAATTCAATCTTGTAGGTGACTGTGATGCCCTTGAGATTGACGGGGGAGGAGGTAACATAGCCTTGCACAAAAGTGAAGTCACCGGTGCCTCCCACCACTGGATGGTCCGAGGGCTTGGTGTTGTGCGTGCTTCCAACTATGGATATTGAGCCACTGTGGTGCTTCAGGCGGAGAGTGATAGAGGCTATAGAAATACTGCGGAGGCCATCTAAGCTGGAAGTGATGGAAGTTCCTTCTGCAATGCCGGCCACTTTTGAAGACCTGTTCGCTTTGATGGTCATGGGGTCCTGAAAGGCGAACAAGGTTCCAAAAGGCGTTGTTGTCTGAGAAACGTTGGCCCCGGCCACACCTGACACTATGAAATACCCGGTTTTGTTTATGGTTTCGTGTTGAAAGAGCGCAAAGTGGATGGTCTTGATTTCGTGTTGGTGGTGGTGGTGGTGGTGGTGATGGTGGTGAGAAGTAGACGTGGTGGTTTGAATTGAAAAGAGGGCAAACAGGACAACAAGAACAAAGGTATGCAAAGAAGAAACCATTGTAGTCTTTGGAGTACTGTTATAGTGAAGATCAATTATACATGTCTTTTGCTTAGGCAAGCCATGCTTATATAACATCGGTAGGGCATTAATTTAAGGTTGTTTGGTGATAAAATTGTCTCAACGTGAACTAGAAAGTACGACTTGGTCAGCGCAACACAGTCTAGCCTTTATTACACGGAAAACACACTCTAGAGGGTTTTGATCAAGACCGTCAAAGGTTGGGGTTGGTTAAAATTGACGGCAAAAGAGACTCCATTTTAATGTCATGTCTTGAGACTAAACCGTGTGTGTAAGAGACTTTTGTTGAGCGTCTACTTTTCAAAAGCTTCAGCAGCCGTGGAACTATGCAATAGATTGGGTGGCAACAAGCAACAAAGCAAATGGATGGCTTCTTTTTTTTAAGCTTGATTATTGTTATTTATCATCATCTAAGATACATCACTGTCACTATAAACGTGATGGTACAATAAAAAAACGTACATGATAAAAAAATATAATAATTAAGTCTCATAATACATTATTATGTGACAGTTCTGATTTATTATTACATATGTGATTGTATCACCAATAATGATAAATTATAATTTTTAATTATTCCCTAATAATAAATATAGGAGAGGTATGGTCTTCTCTATTCATTCCTCAGAATTGACTAAGAGAAAAGGAGGTCATATTTGTAATTTTGCTGTGGGATGTTTTCCTTGACGTTGTCGTTTTCATAAGACGTCAAAAGGGTATGATTTTCCAATTTGGTGATTGCCCAATATTCTGCTGCCACCTTGAAGGTAATGAAGTGCTTTTTGCTGTGTGAGAATATAAGGGGACGTTTGTTTGGAGGATTCAAATTATGATTTGAATCACGATTCATGATTTATTACAGTATTTTTTCTCATAAAAAATACACATAATTTAAAAATAACTCTAATCACATGATTTTAATTCATGAATCAAATGTCTCCTAAATGTGAGGTGGTCTGAAATATTGTGTTGGATATGGTGCTCATTTTTTAAAGGTTTTTGGTTTTTATTTTATTTCACTTGACAAATAGACCAAACAGCCACATTTTTTTCTTCCTTTTCTAAAAGGAGAGAAAGAAAGAAAAAAGATATTTTTTTTGACTTTTTCGGTTGTCCTCTATTTTCTTTGTTTTTGGCGGGGGCCAATAATAATAAGGTATTGTAGCTTGTTGGACTCCTATTAGTCGTAAGGCCAAGGATGACTGTATCGTGGATCCCTCAGCCCTGGACTTAAAAGTCCATATTTTTTATTTTGATATAATATTAAGACAACATATATATTACATAAACAAATATATATATATATATATATATATGGAGCAGCCTTTGGAAGTATATGTAATAGAGAGAATGGGGCAGGCGTTCCTCAGGGGAGGCAAGTGGCAGATGTCTTTTTCTTTCCTTTATATGAGAGATGGACAGCTGGATAAGAATGCAGGCGGGTTGCAGGGTCGAAAATAGTATTTTATTCGGGTTGGGGCATTTAAGTAATTTAACTCACTAAAATGATAAGATGATGTATCATTGTATAAGAGCGACGACATTAATGTAGCGTTTTACTTTCAAAACAAGTATACGTGAAATAAGTGAACAAATTACCTAGTTTTATTTACAATACCTGAATTGCGGGATATCCTATAAATGAATTCGAAGGTGGTTTGCTTGTTGGAGAAAGGAGAAATGTGGCAACGTAATATTGCATTACTGCATGGAATATAATTTCCAACGTTAATGGGGAGTTTCGCCGTTAACGTGAAAAGCAAAAAGATATTAAAACGGTGGAAAATGAATGCACAGAGTGTATAGGTTATGACTTACTAATGGGAGGTATAATAAGCCTCGGTCTTAGATCTGGGTCAGAAGGAATCACTTTTCCTGTTCACTTTCCCGCTCTTGTTGCTCGTTTATCTCCGTTCTTTCAAGTTGCATTCTTAATATATTTGCTTTATATACCACACGCTATAAACAGTAGTTGGTTTGGCAGACTGCTCTTCTGTTGTTGTTGTCATTCTTTTTGTATAAATTGATTGATTGATTGATTTATTTATTTATTTTTGGCTTGTTCAAACTGAAAGCTCTAGACTGTTACTGGAACCTTATTTTATTCATTCTAATGATCATGTTTGAATCCGATTCCTTAAAAAACAATCGTGCTTTTTATTTCCTATTTAATGTCTGGACAATCTAAACTATCGCATGGCATTAAAATTTAGAGGAAAGATAAAGATGGGTAACAAAGCATAAATCTGGATGAATTGGACATTGAAAAGGTGAAATAAGACTAGCAGAAACGGAGCAAGAGTCTAGGAGGAGGCTTGAAGCTGAGTCGCGTGCGGAGGCCGGTAGAGGTGAAATTCAAGTCTAGGAGGAGGCTTGAAGCTGAGTCGCATAGGGAGGCCAGTAGAGGTGAAATTCAATCTTGTAGGTGACTGTGATGCCCTTGAGATTGACGGGGGAGGAGGTAACGTAGCCTTGCACAAAAGTGAAGTCACCGGTGCCTCCCACCACCGGATGGTCCGAGGGCTTGGTGTTGTGCGTGCTTCCGACTATGGATATTGAGCCACTGTGGTGCTTCAGGCGGAGAGTGATAGAGGCTATAGAAAGGCTGCGGAGGCCATCTAAGCTGGAAGTGATGGAAGTTCCTTCTGCAATGCCGGCCACTTTTGAAGACCTGTTCGCTTTGATGGTCATGGGGTCCTGAAAGGCGAACAAGGTTCCGAAAGGCGTTGTTGTCTGAGAAACGTTGGCCCCGGCCACACCTTTCACTATGAAATACCCGGTTTTGTTTATGGTTTCGTGTTGAAAGAGCGCAAAGTGGATGAACTTGATTTCGTGTTGGTGGTGGTGGTGGTGGTGGTGGTGAGAAGTAGACATGGCAGTTTGAATTGAGAAGAGGGCAAACAGGACAACAACAAGAATAAAGGTATGCAAAGAAGAAACCATTGTAGTCTTTGGAGTGTTATAGTGAAGATCACTTATACATGTCTTTTGCTTAGGCAAGCCATGCTTATATAACATCGGTAGGGCATTAATTTAAGGTTCTTTGGTGATAAAATTGTCTCAACGTGAACTAGAAAGTATGACTTGGTCAGCACAACACAGTCAAGCCTTTATTACACGAAAAACACACTCTAGAGGGTTTTGATCAAGACCGTCAAAGGTGACTGCAAAAGAGACTCCATTTTAATGTCATGTCTTGAGACTAAACCGTGTGTAAGAGACTTTTGTTGAGCGGCTACTTTTCAAAAGCTTGAGCAGCCGTGGAACTATGCAATAGATTGGGTGGCAACAAGCAACAAAGGAAATGGATGGCTTTTTTTTTTTTTTTTTTTAAGCTTGATTATTGTTATTTATCATCACCCAAGATACATCACTGTCACTATAAACGTGACGGAAAAATAAAAAAACGTACATGATAAAAAAAATATAATAATTAGATCTCATATTATTATGTGTCAGTTTTGATTTATTACTACATATGTGATTGTATCACCAACAATGATAAATTATAATTTTTAATTATTCCCTAATAAATACAGGAGAAGTATGGTCTTCTCTATTCATTCCTCAGAATTGACTAAGAGAAAAGGAGGTCATACTTGTGGACTGAATTTCCAAATGGGTGTTAGAATTGTGAGACCAAACAAAAGGAATATGGCATATTCCAGTGAGTTTTTTTTTTTTTTTTTTTTTTTTTTTTTTTTTTTTAATTTTATTTTATAGAAAAAGCATGTGGATTGAATTTCCACCTCAAAAGGATTGAATTTCCATATGGTGTTAGAATTTTGAGACCAAACAAAAGGAATATGGCATATTCCAATGAGAGTTTTGTTTTTTTTATTATTATTATTATTAGAAAAAGCATGTACATGTACATTAACCAACTATAATACCATGATAAGCATGGTGCAATCCTTGTCTAAACTTCCACCTCAAAAGGATTATTCTCTTTTTTTTTTATTTAACTTGATCCAAGCATTATTTTCTATCTCACTGTCTGAGTATTGAGTACAATGTAGATAAAAGAATGAGTTATTTCAGCATGTACATGAGCTTCCTTTGCTTCGCTTTGGCAAAGAAGGAAATTGCTGAGGCGGGTTTCGCCTGAACTGCGGACTAAGATGTCTGGATCAGGTGCTACTCCCATGTACATATGCTTCTCCACATCTACCAGCTTTATACTAAGAAGCTTCCTTTGCTTCTCTCTCACTTCAGCATCTTCTTCAATCAAACCACTGAAAGTTCTAGTTGCAATATCTGTTGGATCCTTAATCCAACGTTAGGCTTATATGTGAATAATTATGTGTTACGGGCTGTCATATAAGGTTAAGCCTAATTAGAAGTGATCTACTAAGGTTTAGATATTTTGGGCTTTAATGTATCTAATAGGGTGTGGGTCTTTAATGTGTAGAGACTTAAGGGTAATTTCTATTTTTATGATGGACTAAAATAGAAATACCAAAAGATAACAGGGAAGTTATCAATAAATGGCCTTTATGGTCTCCAAATCACACGTATCATTTCATTCATTCTGACATCTCATCATCAGAAAGAGTACAGAGAGAAAGTTAAAGGGTTCTCTAGGAAAACGTGTTGATCTGGAAGACAAACTGCACGACTCTAGAGAGAAATCAAGCAATATGGATTCAGGTACGCTTCCGCTTACAGATTTATTAATTCTTGATGATCTAACATGAATGTTCTTGGCTTTTGGGTGGTGGTTTTCACCAAATCTTTGATTTCTAACAAGTGGTATCAGAGCCTCTTCATGTTGAATCATTGAGAATCAAATTTATTATCGATCTATCGTGATATGTTTGGTGTTCTTAAATTTAATAATTTCAGTTTGGGATTGTTGGATTTGAGAACAAATTTTTTCTTACGGTTATAGAACCTTTTCGGACAATTTTGGGAATTTGGGTTTATTGAACCCAAATCAACACTTTGGCCGGTGGTAGCCTCTGTCGCTGTCGGCTCTGTGAGTAAGGTGCGGCCTTTGGCCGCGCCGGCAAGGGACAGCCGTTGCCTGTGGCCGTGGCAGAATGGAGAAAAGCGGCAGCCATGGCTGCCGCATAAGGAGTTTTTCTTTAAAAAAAAAAAAAAAAATCTTCTAGATATTGAGCCGGCAGCCGTTCTTGCTGCCGCTGGCGTCTGGGTATTCCGACGCAGCTCTTGGGCTGCCGAAAAACATGAACCTCGGTTGTCTGGCTGAGGTTTCTGCAACTGGTGGCCATTTGGCCGCCAGTTCACCTAGGGGTCGAACAGACCCCTAGGGTTTGAGATGCACGGGCCCAATGGGGCCCGTGACATGAAGCTGGCTGTAGGCTTAGCCCACAGCCATTTAAAAAAAAAAAAAAGGGTACAGGCCTTCTGGCCATTTTGAGATACACGGGCCCAATTGGGCTTGTGACAGGAGACTAGGCTGTGGGCGAAAGCCCACAGCCATTAAAAAAAAAAAAAAAAAAAAAAGGTGAAAGGGCCTTCAGGCCCTTAGAACTGGGCCTGTGACCCAGAAAGAAAATGGGGCTGGTTTAGGATCCGGGTTGGGTTTACCTGACCCGGTCCAGCCCCCACCTGGTCATGCCATTGACTTGACCGGTCAAAGTTTGACCGTTGACTTTGACCGTTGACTTTGACTTTTTTTTTTAAGTGTAATTTTAAATTCATATATTGGTATGGTTATATATATTTTCAGATGAATTAATTAAAGCAACATGTCACCAAAGTGACCTCTCTTGTGAAAATTAATTTATTTTGGAATATAAACACTTGTGTATATGTAACTTATGTGAATATTGATCGGCCCAAAAGAAGGTCAATATTTAACAAAATTACATGTGTACCTGTGGTAATAAACACATGATAATTATTCAGTTTTACATCTGAACAATAAATCGGCCCAAAAGAAGATTTATTGTTTGACGTGTTCTTATTATCAGTGTTTGATTACTACACCAAGATATCACTTACAAGTTAACATTTTGTCCAAAGATGAAATGTTAAGGGAGTACCTGTATCTTGAGATGGGGTTTACCTTTATTTGAATTTAATTTTTGTTTTGGGACTTATGTGAGCTTGTTTTGTTTGTTTGTTTGTTGTTCTCTGTTTAGCTATAACTCCTGCTAATATTACTGCCAACATCAACTCTATTTCTATGCTGAATGGCTCTAACTTTAAGCCATGGCAAGAGAACCTCTTGATAGTTCTCGGAGTCATGAATCTCGACCTTGCGTTAAGGGTTAATTCTCCTCCACCTGTTACGGATAAGAGTACCTCTAATGAAAAGAGGGATATGGAAAGGTGGGAGTGATAACTCTAAGAAATTAGAGTTATCCACTGGTTTTGTAGCCTAAAATTGTTTGTCCATGAGTGATTGTTCTCGTTTATTGTTTGTTTTAAGTTAGATTTGTAGAGTTGCATGTACTTTGGCCTAATTCCGTATTGCTGCGCCTCTTGAAGTGAAAGCTGGTAATTTGGAAGTAAAATAGGTGAAAAACTGGCTAATTCTATGTGAGTTCCTTGCAGGAAATTGCTGGACTAAAATGCTGCAACATTCTGGGCGACATTCTGGGATTAGTTGGCAGCTGATTGATGTCAGCGCACTAGCTAGACAATGCAGACAGAAAGGAATCCGTGTGAGCTGGCTGAGGAGGTGTCAAATGGGTCCACTGTGCACATCAGCAGTGACACCTCAGCCCTTGTGTTGCCCTAGAAGGGAATGTTTCTCTTAGGACAAGTTGGCAGCCGCCAGGGGAGAAAAAGAGGTAGAGAGAGAATCGGGCATTAATATAAAAAGAAGACAGTTGCTGTTTCCCAAAAGAGGAGAGTACATAAGAGAGTACACAGGAGAGTAAAAAGACACCAGAAAACATAAAAAGGCATTATTCAGAGAGGAAAAAGCTTCGGAAGAAAGCTGAAGAAACCAGAGCATCAAGTAATATTCATCCTAGAAGGAAAATACAGAGACGTGAGAGCTGGAAGTTGAAGGACATTATTGGCCAGCCACAGAGGAATCCAAGATCCAGCTGAACTTGTTCTTCTTCTGTTAGCTTAACTCTTTTTGTTGTCATTTAGCTACTAATTCTAGATATGGATTATACTGGAGCTTTGGATCTTGTAACTATCATTATGAGCTAAGTTGTTGTAGCTAGGCTTGCTAATGGAACCAATATTGTAAGAATGATAAGTTGTTTTTGAAATGCTATTAATCTACTATTCCTGTTCATTCATGTGAGCTAATGTTTATTTCTATTCTTGATTGGCCATCAACCTTAGGATACAAGATTGAGATTAATACTGGAAGGGTTAGTTTTAATCGGATTAGCATGAATGATGCTTGTTCAATGAACTTGCTGAGTTGTTGATTAGTGGATGGTATAGGAATATATTATCCACCTTGCATAACTTAATGAAACTTGAGCTTAAATCTGCAGTCCTAGAGCTGGATTCACATAGGAATGTGTCAGAAATAGCTTAAAGGACCACAGTCATAATCAATTCGGAAGAACTTTATGCATCAACGAGTTTCTGTTAACAGGATAGTAGAATGCTGCAGCATTCTTGGTAACATTCTAGTTAGACTTGCAGTAGAGGGGAAATTAGCAGGCCTAGCTCATTTACACCACTGAATTACATTCCATCATTACATTCTTGTTACTCTTAGTCACTTTAGACCGTATTTAGTTTGCATTCATTTTATTTACATTATTTTAGTGAATTTCTCACCACATTCATCATTTACTTGTTTTGTTAATTATACAACTCCAGACACATATTTTGGTGATTCATTCCTCGTGGGATCGATATCCGTACTTGTGTACACTTTATTACTTGTTAGCGACACGTGCACTTGCGAGCATAATTATCATGCAACAAGTTTTTAGCGCCGTTGCCGGGGAATTGAAATCATAAAAATATTTGCAGGAGTTAATTTGTTTTACATTTGTTTACTTTTTAATCTCATTCATTTGGTTCTTAATTCCTCAGGTTACTAAGTTGCTTGCATGAATCCACCGCAAGACTTGGAGTTGCTGCCTATAGATCCTGAAATAGAAAGAACATTCCGAGCTAGGAGAAGGGAGCAACAAGGCTTAGCAGGAGTGAGAGACATGGCAGAAGGGGCAGCAGGAAACAACGGGCAACAAGCAATTGCCAACAACCCTGTTCCACAACCAGAGCTGATTGATGATAGAAAAAGGGCCATTCGAGACTATGCAGTGCCCATTTTGCATGGACTTAACCCGGGCATAGTGAGGCTAGCAATTCAGGCACCTCATTTTAAGCTGAAACCCGTGATGTTCTAAATGCTCCAGACCGTGGGGCAATTCAGTGGCATGGCAACTGAAGATCCTCACATCCATCTCAGACAATTTATGGAAGTGAGTGATGCTTTTAAGCTCCCGGGGGTGACTGAAGATACATTGAGGTTAAAGCTTTTCCCTTATTCCTTGAGGGACAGGGCACGAGTGTGGCTGAATTCTTTGCTTCCGGATTCAGTGACATCATGGGATGAATTGGCAGAAAAGTTTCTCATGAAATACTTCCCTCCAACCAAGAATGCAAAGTTGAGGAATGACATAACCTCGTTCCAACAAGCAGATGGGGAGTCATTGTATGAAGCGTGGGATAGATTTAAGGAATTGCTGCGGAAGTGCCCTCATCATGGGATCCCCCACTGGATTCAAATGGAGACATTTTATAATGGTCTCAATGGGCAAACACGAACTATAGTGGATGCCGCAGCAGGGGGGGCCATTTTTGCCAAATCTTATAATGACGCATATGAGATTTTGGAGAGGATGGCAAACAATAACTATCAATGGCCAACCGAGAGGCATAATGCAAGGAAGGCCACTGGAATTCACGAGGTTGACGCCATCACTGCTCTTTCAACGCAAATGTCATCTTTGACGAATATGGTAAAGGCATTAAACACACCGGCAGGGGTAAATGCAGTGCACACCCCTGGTTTTTCGTGTGTTTACTGTGGAGATAGCCACCAATATGAAGATTGCCCATCCAACCCTGCCTCTGCATGCTATGTTGCTAATTTCAACAAGGGTAGTCATCACTATTCAAATCCTCATAACCAAGGGATGAGGCAACATCCAAACTTATCATGGAGTAATCAGGGAGCAAGTACCAGTCAACCCAATGCCTACCACAGAAACACGTACCCACCTGGATATCCACCGCAACAACAAAGAACTCAAGCCGTGGAACAATCTAACTCTTTGGAGAGCTTGTTAAAAGAGTTTATTTCAAGGAGTGAAGCCAAAATCCAGAGCCATGATGCAACACTGTGGAATTTAGAAAATCAGGTTAGACAGATCGCAAACTCTTTGAACAACAGGCCCTAAGGTTCTCTCCCAAGCAATACTGAAGATCCACGAAGAGACGGGAAAGAACACTGCAAAGCTATCACCTAAGGTGTGGAAAGGAGTTGGAATCAAAAGCAAAACCTCTGGCTGCTCACATAGAGCCCACTTCAATCCAAGGGGGAGAGAAGAAAACATTGCCGCAAGAAGAACAGCCCAGGAGTAAGTAACTGGACTCTGATGTTCAGAATGCTGCAGCATTACCGCAGCACTCAGGAGCAACCAACACCAACAACTCTAGTGGCAGCCGACCACCTCTGCCATTCCCACAACGTTTCCAAAAATAGCAACAAGATGGGCAGTTCTGCAAGTTTTTAGATGTTTTGAAGCAGCTACACATCAACATACCATTAGTTGAGGCCCTAGAAAAGATGCCAAACTATGCCAAGTTCATGAAAGACTTGGTCACTAAAAAATGCCGGTTTGGAGAATTCAAAACAGTGGCTTTGACAGAGGAATGCAGCGCCATATTGCAAAATAAGCTCCCTCCCAAGCTGAAGGATCCGGGAAGTTTCACTATCCCATGTTCAATTGGAAACCAATATTTTGGTAAGGCTTTATGTGATTTGGGAGCTAGTATAAATTTGATGCCGATGTCCATTTTCAAGAAGTTGGGAATCGGGGAAGCATGGCCTACCACAGTGTCTTTGCAGCTCGCAGACATATCTATTGCACTTCCCGAAGGAAAGATTGAGGATGTACTAGTAAAGGTGGACAAGTTCATTTTTCCTGCCGACTTTATTATTCTTGATTATGAAGTAGACAGAGAAGTGCCCATAATTTTGGAAAGGCCATTTCTTGCTACAGGCCGCACCCTAATTGATGTGCAAAAAGGTGAGCTAACCATGCGAGTGCAGGATGAGCATGTGACATTTAATGTATTTAAGGCAATGGAGTTTCCAACTGAGGTGGAGGAATGTTCTGCAATATCAGTCATTAACTCTTTGGTGGCTAAAGAGCTTGAGAGTAGCAGCCATTCGGACTTGTTGCAGCTATCCTCATCATTAGATTTGGACGAGGCTGAAGATGAACCTATGGAGCAGTTAGCTTGGTTAGGTACCAAAACAATAGCACAAGGACCTATAAGGAAATTTGAGGCGCAAGAGTCGTCAGAGGAGGATGAAAGAAAACAAGAAATCATTAACTTGAGCTCGTTAATCGCTCTAACATCCATACCGCCATTCGACCCATTTTGGCCATCATCATCACCGCCACCATACTGCATTCTTTATGAGCCTGAACCAAAAATGAAGTTCTCCAATCAAGCCCATCACCTTCCGAAGCCAAATCTTGTTGATGCAACGTGCCTAAATTGTAAAAATCATGCCAAGCTTGAAGGCATCACAATCAAAGACCCATTTGTAGTGTTGTATGACACTTACTATGGGCGGGTGCCACTCTTTACTGAGCGCCTCTCTAAACGTCCATCACTCTGCAAGAGGCTTAATTCTTAAACCAGGGAGGTAGTCAGGCTGATGACTAAAAAACAAGCGCTTATGGGAGGCAACCCATTGTTTGTTCCTTTGTTTTTGTTTTATTTTGCTATTCTGCATTTATATTTTAATTGGGAGTGTAATTCATTGGTTGGCAGGATCAAAAGGAGCTAATCCGTTGCAGATAGCAGAGAAAAAAAAAATTTTACATTAGCCCAGAATGCCATGACAAAATGCTGCAGCATTCTGGGCAGCATTCAGAAAAAAAAATGACAATGAGTTTAGCATGTTTCTAAAGCCCTAATTCACCCGTATTTATACACTCTCACTTCTTCTTCGAAGACCACACTCACACTCTCACTCTTGCCATTTTTTTTTCCTCCATTCTCGCCAAGATTTCAAGCTTGTATCCTCTCACCCGCAGCATTCTCTCAAATAGCTAATCTCATCCATCTCCGCTACGTGATACAACGCGAGTTTGGGGGAGCAGCCAGCCGCTAGCACAGACGAGATCGCCATTGAGGTTAGTAAGAACTCTACCCTAACTCCATACTCTTTAAGGAGGGTAGAACAGAGAAGGGGGGTGTTATTGTAGCAAAGAATTGTTGAGAACAGAGGAAAGGTGATTTTAGGCCTGTGGAGTTTCAGGAAGGAAAGTGAGTGGGCAATTTTATTTTAGAGGGTAGTTAGAGTAGAGAATGAAGTACGGGCATTAAAAAAAATGCCATTTAAGAGCAAGGCGCGCAAGGGAAATGGAGTGCAGATTCTAACAGATTCAAATAGTTCTGAATCGGAGCAGGCCACAGAGAATGCTGAAGTAAAAAAATTTGCGTCCCCAGAGGCAGAGCAGCGTTTCGACGCGTGCATGAATAAGCGTGCATTGCATATGGAAAGAGGTTTTGTGTACAGAAGGGGTCGGCCCTCAGGCTACCCCAGCTTTATCCATTCAGTTATCGCCGCGCACACATGGCATTTATTCTGCCATAACCCGCCTGCGGTGACGGTGCAGCTGGTGCGCGAATTCTATGCCAACTACGATGCTGCAGAGCCTGACATAATCTTCATCCGAGAAAAATTGATCCCCTTCACATCTAAGGTAATTAACAGCCTCTACAACTTGCCGGATGTCGAAGATCATTTCAACAACTTCGCAGACAGTTTAAACGAGGACCAGTTGGATGAAGTTATCAATGAACTTTGTGTTGAGGGGTACTGAATGGCGGAGAGCAACCAGAGGGTCGATGACATTTCCCAGGGAGTGCCTCCAGCCGGGACCGAAGATTTGGTATCATTTTCTAAGGTTCCGGCTGATGCCTTCCTCACACTACCGCCTAGTACACAAAGAGAGAGCCATTCTGCTGTATTGTATGATGAAGGGGAGGCCCCTAAACGTGGGAAGGATGATTCGTCAGCAGGTAGGCGTCTATGCGGGGCGTAAGAATAGGGGGTTATGGTTTCCATCATTAATCACGCAGTTATGTATTGCTCATGGAGTAAGCGTTGAAGAGCACGAAACGAAAGAGCCGCCATCCGCAGCCATTTCCACATTTATTCTTGCGCGGCTCCTGCACGATGACGCGCAAGAAGAAGAAGAAGCTACTCCTGCCCCAGCAGCGAATACACCTCACTTAGGAGAGCCTGCTGTAGAGCCACACAGCCCTGACATCGTGGCTAGATTGAGTAGCATGGAGCAGCGCCTCAGCCAGGTGGAGGTGCAGCAGTACGAATCTGCGCAGCAAATGCTGGAATTTTGGAAATATACGAAGCAAAGGGATTTGGCTCTCCAGAAACACTTCAGGGCTAATTCCAGGAGGTTCCATTCCTTTCCAAAATTTCCTCACTATCTATGCAATTCCTCATCCGAGGATGAGGAGCCTAGCCCTACGGAAGAAACAGCACCACCCTCTCCAACCTCGCCTCCAGCTGAGCAGCAGCAGCCTGAAGAGGCTGCCGCATCCAAGCGCCAAGAGAAAGGAAAATCTGCCGCACCTGAAGCGTCCACCAGAAGAATGACGCTGCGGAGTGTAGTGAACTGGAAGTGGCGAGAATGAAAATGGCAGCGCTAAGTCAGGGCAGTCCTTCCTCTTCTCTCGCTCTCGTCTATATCTCATTGTCGCTTAGTTATAAATTTTCATTTATTTTATTTTTCATTGTCCTGTCTTGATTAGTTATCTTTATTTGTGATTGATTATTATTGCATACTTTGTGATGATTTTTCTTAGTCTCATGCTAAAAAATTGTTAAGAGAAGTGCAGCTCATAAAAAAAAAAAACTTGATTTGTGCAGCTCATATATATATGGAGATTTTGCCTTGTGTTGATTTGTAACTCGTTTGATTGATTTCTCTTGGCTTGTGATTTTTCCCATTATGCACTACCTTGTGTTATTGATTCAGTGTTTTCCTAGGGTAAGATTTTGTACATGAGCGTCATTTTTAAATAAACTATTTATAAGCTCTAGAACTTGCTTGATGACTCTTGAGGCGAAATCTCAAGTTAGCACTTTACCAAGGGAATGATTTAGGCTATCTTTGGACAGTTTGAGCCTTGTAGCCGACCTTAACTGAACATATCCCTAGCATACCCCATTGAGCTTATACATTTTTTTTCTTTTTTCCTTGTAACCCTTCTCTTAGCTTTTATATCCCCATTAAGCATCCCTAGCCTAGCTGTTGCAGCAGTATACCCACCTTCTTCGTGTGGGAGATAAGGTGGTGGGTGATTGAAGTTTCGTTGCTCTTTCCTTGTTCCTCTTGCATCATTGAGGACAATGCTCATTTTTGAGTTTGGGGGCAGGGAGAGCTTGAGCTCTTAATGTCTTGTTCCTGTTACTAAAAAAAAAAAAAAAAAAAAAAAAAAAAAAAAAAAAAACCCCCCTTGTTTCACACTTTGTTGAAAACC